GTATGTTGGGACAGTCTGAGAATTCATCTGAGTGGGTGATCATAGTGACGGGATCAGCCCCTTTGTCGGAYAAAGGTAATGGTCGGGGATGCACTCTCTCTGATGGAAACCAAACTGCCGGGAGTTGATTTCAATCGTTGGAATTTTGTTTTACAAAATCTAATTAATCTAATTAACCCATATTCGCCCCTATTTAATTAATCTAATTAACCTAGTTTGAAATGGGATTTTAGGCCCATTATAAGCTTTCAAGCTCACTTTAACTTTAATGCTCGTTAGCTTGGCTCTCTTTGTATGGCGTGGGACCCTGTCATTGATCTACACATCAGCTACATGGGTTCAGCTTAACCTCTGTTACAAGGCCTAGCTGAATTCACTGTTGAATGCAGTGAACCCCTGAATCCATCGCTATGGGCTCTTAATGGGCCCAACATTTAGACTAAATGGTCCTTGGGTCCAACCATCTTATGAAGGCCCAAGGACAATGAGCAGATGCAAGATTATCCCATCAGGTATAACACTCAATGGTCATACACTTAACCACTCAACCCATAATGATCAAACACTGCCCGACAAGAGAGGACCTCTCCCTCGGCTGCAAGGTGTAGTGCTGCACCCTTTATTCACATGGATCCTAGGAATTAAAACATTTTGCAAACATTTTGAAACCATAATATATATATGTATATCTCTATGTATTTTTGAAAAATCAAATTTCAATGGTTGAAATCAACTGCCGGCAGTTTAGGTTTCCATCAGAGAGAGTGCATCCCCGATCATTCACTTTGTCCGACAAGGGGGCTGATCCTGTCACTATGATCACCCACTCATATGAATTCTCGAATTGTCCCAACATACCAAGGTTTTGACCCCCTCTAAGGATCTCACTGATTGGCATATCAAAGTAGCCCAATCTGACACCTACTGCAGTATCATAATCGAGTATAGGGGTTTGGTGTAACATTCCAGTTTTGCCCATCTATCTCCAAAGAAAAGGGGAATACTAGAATTTTGGTCGGGTTCAAGGTTTCAAGAAAACCCACACTACATGTACTTCAGGTCTCACCCTAGTAGCTGAGGCAAGCTACCCCAACCAACTTGATGGCACATTAATGTCAACCTTGGTAGGATAAATCTCCATAGATCTATCCAACGACTGTGAAGATTCTAAACTAACACAAGTCTCATAT